CTCACACGCACAGCCACGAACCACCACTCCTATGGCGCCAAAGCGTAATGACGACGAAACACCACCCCTGTGGCTACCCCACCCACAACGGCACGAAGAACCTCGATGAGACCGAACAGAACGGGCAGGCGCACAATGCCACCGGACAGACAGAGGTAGACGAGAGAGGTAGACGAGATAATGGAAGCACAAACGAAAACGAAGCCAAAGGTTGACGAGAGAGGTAGAGGAGAGAATGGAAGCACAAAGTAAAACGATGGCAGACGTAGATGAGAGAGGTAGGGCAGGGAGGTTTTCACAATTTCAGGAAATTGGGAACGACCTCGACGAATAGAACCAATCACTTGGTTTAATGGGTCGAGCCTATTACCGAAGGACACACATCCCTCGCTATTGTCTTCCTGACCTTCGGTAGTTTAATTTCACTAAGCCCATCGGTAGTTGTCTTTATGGTCGTCGGCACCTCACTTTTACAGACGGCCTCAAGGCCTTCGGTATTAAGTTGCCGGTAATTAGCCAATTTCTTGTAGTGATAATGTGTACGAATCCATAAATAAAAATTGAATATGATGCCACTTCATAAAATAAAATAGCTAAAAATATATATATTCAAAAGTAAAAGAAAGAAAAAGAAAAATTTAAATCAGGTCAATGGGATCATATAAAATTTTAAATGATCTAGATAAATGAATTTCAATTTGTATAACCAATCAGATCATCAATTTGATCTGATATATCTAGTTATGATAAACCAGTCAAACTTGTCTCAACTTATGAACCTAATTATTTAATTTTTCTAATCGAATAGAACAAAAGTGTCCAAGTACATTCAGAAAGTGACAGAGTCAACTCTACTGCATCACAATAGAAAACTGATAGGACAAACCAAAAACTAGAGACCAAATGAATTTGACTAAGTTATTTAGTAGTTTGAATAATGGCGTTGCAATTTACTAAGGTGAAGATGTTTTTTTGTGTGGGTGATTTGAATGCAGAGATGATTTAGAGAGGTATTGTAGCGAGTTGAAAAAGCTTGCCATAAAAATCATTGACATAATGGGAAGTGCCCTGAGTGTGGAGAGAAAGGAAATTAGAGAGTTGTTTGGTGATGGAGTTCAATCAATGAGGATGAATTACTATCCGCCATGTCCCCAACCAGAGCTAGTTATGGGACTGAATCCCCATTCTGATGGTGGAGGTCTTACTATCCTTCTCCAAGCCAATGAAATGGAAGGTCTTCAGATCAACAAAGATGGACTGTGGATCCCTGTAAAACCCCTCCCCAATTCTTTCATCATCAACGTTGGAGACATGATTGAGGTATTTAACTAATTCACCACCAAATTTATTAATTTTTAATGATTCATTGATTATTTCTCATAATTCAACAAACCCTATTAGCATTTAACAAATGGAAGCTAATTAAATGAATCTTTTAATAACTGAGGTTTTGCAAAGATGTTTGATCGTTACCTTAACAAGCAATTGTGTGTAGATAATGACAAATGGGATTTATCGAAGCATCGAGCACCGAGCAACAGTGAACTTAGAGAAGGAAAGACTTTCCATAGCTGCATTTTACAACCCCAGCATGGAAGTAACTATAGGTCCAGCACCAAGCCTTGTTACTCCCAAAACACCAGCAGTTTTCAGGTCAATTAAAGTAACCGAATACTACAGGGGATACCTCTCCAAAGAACTCAAAGGGAGATCACACCTTGATAGCATGAGGCTCCAAAACAACGATTACAGAAACTCTTCAAACTGCTGTGATCCCAACCAGATACATTCTACAAACATATGAACCTTCTGTTGCATGCCTATTTCTTTAGTTTCTGCTTTACAATACTTTTTCAGTTTCCCGTGTGAAACTTAGACGCCACGAATTTGGTGATTTTTTCTCAATAAAAAGTCATTGCAACTAGTTAAGTTTCGTGTGTGTTTAATAACTAATAAAATATAGCTCATGTGATCAAATTAATGCTATTTTATTATAATAATTTCAATTTCAGTATTATCTAACTTAATTTCAGTTTCAGTAAACAAAATAGTTAGGAAAAAATTAATTTCAATTTCAATTTCAATTTCAATTTCAGGAAAAAATTTTAAAATAGCATTAACTAATAAAATAATTTCAATTTCAGTAAACAAATTAATTATTATTTTTCAACTAATTGATTTCTAACAAATTAATTATTATAAAAATTATACAAAAAATTTAGTCAAATAAATAAAATTAATATAAGAAGATAAAAAAAACAAAATAAGTAAAACATTAATTAACAAAATAGTAAATGAAAGCAAGAAATAAAATTAGAAAAAAATAAAAATAATAAAAAAAATTTGGTTAATTTCATTGTCTTTTTAGAGTTTATAATTGGTTATTTAAAGATTATCCATCAATTAATTATTGTCTTAATTTTTAAATTAATCAATATAAATTCTTAATTAATTTATAAAAGTTTTCACTATTAATCAAATATATTATCAATTAAAATCAAAATATTTGTAGATTAATTATAATAAATTTAATTAAAGAACATCATCAATTAAGTATTACTTTGCGTGATCGTGTATATTCTTTTATCTCTTGTATCAACTAAAAAACTAATTAATCAAAGTGCATTATTGATAGATTTTTGTTAAAGTTTTTATCTTTGATATCAATTATTGGGCAAAACTTATTCAATCACATAAAAGTTTCCAAATTTAATCAAAGTATATTATTAATTAAAATTGAAAATTATTAGACTCATATAAATGATATCTTATGTAGATTTAACATCGTCCTAACTTGCTATAATGTAAAATTAATTACTTTTACTTGATTATAAAAGGCTTAATATCATTTATGGTCCCAATTTTTGTCAGTTTTGTTCGAAATGGTCCTAATTTTTTTTATGTTCAATGTAGTCCTAAAGGTCGTAATTTGTGTTCAATTTAGTCCTTTTTGTAAACACCATTTAAATTGTTAACGGCCAAATGTCCAGCTGTGCAATTAGTGACACATCACCCTTGACACGTCATCATCATCTCCTACCTCCAGAAACCCTAATTTCCCCTTACATAGAAACCCTAGCCACCAACCCTAACCGCTGCCGCCACGCTCACGGCCAGCCACCATCTTCGCACCTCAATCATCACACATTTCGAAACACTAACCAGATGGTCGCGTCATTGTTCCAAATGCTCCGACACAAGCATCGTGAAACCGAATCGTGAGTTCCTGGCACCTTTGAGCAACGTCGTGAAGCTTCTTCATTCTCCACCAGCTACCACCAACCTGAAACACAGAAGATCAAAACCCACAGAACCAAAAATCTCCTTCAAACCAGAAGCGGAATTCGTGCTGCAACGGTGAAAAGCCACCAACATCATCATCAACCTCTCGTGAGAAAAATCCAAATCGCTAACGCAAACCCAAATCGCACCAGCGCCTCTTTGCAAGCTTCTCCACCGCGCCTTCTTCATTCACCTGCAGGATAAAAACCTAGAAGCAAACCAACTATCAGGAAGTTCACCATATCCACCGTGAAGGAGAAACCCTATTCTCGCGTGACGACAATCGACCAAGTTTTTTCCCAATCTGCCGATGCAAATCTGAAACCCTAATTTTTGGGTGAAGAAAGGGGTTGCCACATGTCAAGCCCTCATTGGCATGACCATCCTTAGTCAACTCTAGTCCTAGCCACGTTAGCCAATAAGTGTCATGTAATTCACTGATTGGTGATGTGTCGTTAACGATTTAAACAGCGTCTGCGAAAAGGACTAAATTGAACACAAATTACGATATTTAGGACTACATTGAACGTAAAAAAAATTATGGTCATTTCGAGCAAAGCTAACAAAAATTAGAACCATAAGTATTAAGCCATTATAAAAAAAACATAGATAAAAATAAATCACAAAAATTAAAAAAAAAAAGCAAATCTATTCATTTAACCCTAGAATACAATTAAGAAATCACAACATAATCAATTTCAAAGGCTTAACACTCCATGAAATGTAGATTTAACATAAAAATAAAAGAAGAGGTGGTGAAAAACACAAAAGATGGTGGAGAGGACGAAATTAGGTTTCCAAAATGTTCCTAAGCCCCTTAATATGTTTCCTTAGGTCTCTTCATATAAAAATTAGACTAGGTTCTATTTTTGACTGTTTTGTTATTGTAATCTTCTTTCTAATAATGTATTCTCCTTCAATTATCTTCTGAATAATTCAATATCTTCAAGATATATTTGGTTGTTGTGAAAATCTAAAAATATTTAAGAAGATCTTTGCTAGATTCAAAAAAATTTGAAAAATATTATCTTTTAATATTTACTAATATAGTTAAATAAAGTAATTATTTAAAATATCAAATAAAATATCTAAAAGTATATTTTTCCCAAATTATCTTTAATCATAAAAATTTATCAATTATTGCAACTTTTGTTGTAGAAAAAAAATAGCTAAGGTCCAATTTTTGTTGTTTATTTCTTATTCTTGACTTAGCCAAATTTGTTTACTTTTTCATGTTTTTCTTGTCTTCTTTATGCAATGTTTGACTTGACTTTTTATGATTTTGATTATTTTCTATTCTTGAATTTACTTTTAAGGTGTCATGAGATTTTCACCAATTTATTTTCACATCTTCATGAATTCAACTTAATTGTAGTTATACCAACACACATCAAAAATTTCAAAGAACATTTATACAACTAAAAAATTATCTATAACATATTTTTGTATTTCATACTCAATAAACCCAATTATAAAAAAAATCTTAATTAAATTTTTCTAAAAGCACAAACATCAATCCAAAATTAAAGGTTGAATATAAACATAAATATACACTCATCAATTACCGACTTCAATTTTCCAAAAATAATGTAAGAGCCGGAAAAATTCATTGTAATAAAAAGGATTATGTGTTTTGCTACATGTTTCTTTATATATAAGAAAGTCTATGCTTTCACTTATGTAGCTTGGTTTCTTTATATATAAGGAAGTTTATGTTTTCACTATATGTAGCTTGGTTAGTAAGAGTTCCTTATTGCACTAATAATCACGTTTTCAATCTCTACTGAATTTTAGTATTTATTGATGGGAGGTACGAATATACTTATATGTTTGTGACGCATGATATGATCATATAAATCTTGATATAAATCTTGATATTTTGATGGATGATATGTTTGGTTTGCAAATTAAAGTACAGAGATTTGAACCTAGGCCAGCATACCTTGCATTGTTTTATTTCCTTTTTTAAGGGCTGCCACGTAATTGTTTTTAGTTTAGTTAAGCATGGTTGATTTAAAAATAATGAAGACTGATAGCACGTCCGGGGGGAATCAATTTCTATAACTGATTTTTTTTTTCTTCTTTTTTAAGAGTAAGAGAGTTTTTAGTAAAGGAGGTTTCGTGGGGGCAGGTAGGGGCAAGTGTTTTTAAGTTTTAGGTAGGGTTAGAAACGGAAAAAACCTTGTTGCTATTGTGAGTAAAGGAGAATCGTGTGCACTGGATTGTTTCCTTGATAGAGTGAGAAAAGAGAGCGTAACAGATGCCGTCTAGGAAGAGCTTTGGGCTGTGTGCCTGTGGAATCATGTTGGAGTCATGCTAGCTTCTGGTTTACAAGGTAGGGGAGCTGACCTTTTGCCCTTGATTCTGCGATATTGTCATACTTTGTTATGGTCTTCAGTATGTTTCTATGTCCACTTTCCTTGCTGATTAGTCCATACCTGCAGTAGGTTGTAATGAATAGCTTTATGAGCATATGATATTCCTTGGTGTATACAATTGTTCTCGGCAGAATTTGAATGCAGGTGCAGTGGCCAGGTATGTGAATTACGTGTGTAGTGTAAGAATTTTACTCTTCTCTCAGTGCATTGTAAGGTTGTGGTGACTGATATGACTAAGTAGTCATATGTTTTTGTTATTTTGGCATGAATCATTCACCATATGAGCTGCCAAGTTGTGTATATGAGTTTGGACAACAGACCGTGCGCTTTCGATTAGGTTTCTCTTGACGAAAGCCGAACTGGATAAATAGCAAGTCTTGATCTTGTGGTTATGGTTGGTAGGGGTTATCAAGATAGTGGATGAAATGTGCAGGATATTTGCAATACAAATCAATGATGAAGAAGCACGAAAAGTCATACCTTGAGAGAAGAACATGTAATCTAACCCTAAGCACAGTGAAACGAACAACACTTCAAGAAAGAGACGACACGCACAGTGAAACGAAAAGCATAGAGAGAAAGAGATGGAGTGCACGAGAGAAGAATCCAGAACATATGTTTATTATTGAAAAGTGAATTGTGTAGTTACAGTAAGACAAAAAGAGGGAAAATAAAAAGGGGAAAAAAGGATGGGTTGGGCCGCAAGGCTGAAGGCCCAATAACTAACATTATCATCCCCTCAAGCTGGGAGTAGATGTCGGTCATTCCCAGCTTGGAATGAAAATACTTAAAAACAACAGGAGCAAGTGGTTTAGTGAAGAGGTCGACAGCTTGTTCAGTGATAGAAATGGGGAGCGGTTTGAGGAGATCAGTGTTGAGCTTGTCCCTAACAATGTGACATTCTATTTCAATGTGTTTGGTGTGTTCATGGAAGACTTTATTAGAGGCAATCTGGATAGCGGAGTGATTGTCACAGTAGACTATATAGCAGGTTGAGTGGTGATAATACGAAGATCATGAAGAATGTAGGTCAACCATTGTAGTTCACAAGTGACAGCAGCTAGAGCCCGATATTCAGCTTCTGAAGAGCTCCTGGAAATGGTTTGCTACTTTTTGGATTTCCAAAAAATGATAGAATTGTTGTAATAGATGAACTAACCAGTGATAGATTTTCTGGATTCGGGACAGGTTGCCCAGTTAGAATCACTATAGGCTTTGAGTTGATTGGTGTTGTTGCTTTGGAGGAGGGTGCCACTGTCAGGACTTCCCTTGAGGTATCTAAGAATGCGGTGAG